GGTAAAGTTCCATTGAAAAGAGGGTGATTTTGAAAAAGCCTTCCTTGAGTAGCTTTTTCTGCACAGCTCATCCTTTCTGCCCCTTCTAAACACATTCCAACCATCAGAACCATGCCAGGACACCTCATTTTCCTAACCCTAACCCTACCCTGGTGCACACCCCTAACCCTAATATAGGGGTAAAGTTCCATTGAAAAGAGGGAGAATTTAAAAAAGCCTTCCTTGAGTAGCTTTTTCTGCACAGCTCATCCTTTCTGCCCCTTCTAAACACATTCCAACCATCAGAACCGTGCCAGGACACCCCGTTTTCCTAACCCTAACCCTTCCCTGGTGCACACCAATAACGCTAATATAGGGGTAAAGTTCCATTGAAAAGAGGGAGATTTTGAAAAAGCCTTTCTTGAGTTGCTTTTTCTGCACAGCTCATCCTTTATGCCCCTTCTAAACACATTCCAACCATCAGAACGATGCCAGGACACTCCGTTTTCCTAACCCTAACCCTACCCTGGTGCACACCAATAACGCTAATATAGTGGTAAAGTTCCATTGAAAAGAGGGAGATTTTGAAAAAGCCTTCCTTGAGTAGCTTTTTCTGCCCAGCTCATCCTTTCTGCCCCTTGTAAACACATTCCAACCATCAGAATCATGCCAGGACACCTCATTTTCCTAACCCTAACCCTACCCTGGTGCACACCCCTAACCCTAATATAGGGGTATAGTTCCATTGAAAAGAGGGTGATTTTGAAAAAGCCTTCCTTGAGTAGCTTTTTCTGCACAGCTCATCCTTTATGCCCCTTCTAAACACATTCCAACCATCAGAACGATGCCAGGACACCCCGTTTTCCTAACCCTAACCCTACCCTGGTGCACACCCCTAACGCTAATATAGGGGTAATGTTCCATTGAAAAGAGGGTGATTTTGAAAAAGCCTTCCTTGAGTAGTTTTTTCTGCCCAGCTCATCCTTTCTCCCCCTTGTAAACACACTCCAACCATCAGAACCGTGCCAGGACACCTCATTTTCCTAACCCTAACCCTACCCTGATGCACACCAATAACGCTAATATAGGGGTAAAGTTCCATTGGAAAGAGGGTGATTTTGAAAAAGCCTTCCTTGAGTTGCTTTTTCTGCCCAGCTCATCCTTTCTGCCCCTTCTAAACACATTCCAACCATCAGAACCATGCCAGGACACCCCGTTTTCCTAACCCTAACCCTACCCTGGTGCACACCCCTAACCCAAATATAGGGGTAAAGTTCCATTGAAAAGAGGGTGATTTTGAAAAAGCCTTCCTTGAGTAGCTTTTTCTGCCCAGCTCATCCTTTCTGCCCCTTCTAAACACATTCCAGCCATCAG